CACAGAATCTGAAGCCTTTTCAGTAAAGTTTAAATACTTCACCATGATTTCACTATTTATTAAGAATGAAGTTATGAATCCATGTTGTTTTAGTCATATTTGGCATCCTATTGAAGAGAAGGGAGATTATTGACTGGCCATGAGTTGTACTGTTGTAACAACAATTTAACCACTGTTGTAACAATATTCATTAACCACTGTTGTAACAACAATTAACTACTAATTTAATAACGTACAATATAGAAGTTATGTACGTTGCTGTTTATATATACAAATAATCCGTGTAATAAGTCGTAATTACGACATACGTATGTCGAAATTACGACATAAAGTGGTGACGGGGAGGTTTAAATTGCTACATTGACTTATAATAATGAAGTTAACCAAGCAGTCGTTGATGCAAAAACGCCGTCTTCAGATATTAGCGGGAATTGTGCAAATAAAGAAGGTTACCAAATGTTTGTTGTTGCACCTGCTACAGGTGTGACGAACGATCAAACGATAGATAGGCAAAAGTTCAATATATAGACTGATAAAACTGCAGATATTAAACAAGGAACAGCGGCGATTGAAACACCGATGAAAACAAATCATACACACATCATACAGGCAGAAATAAATTGGTCCCCGTCCAAAGAGAAGGCAGCCATTGCATTAAGGGAGGGTATTACTTCAGATCCAGAAGTGGACAAAGAGAATAAACAGAAAGCTTGGAACAGGGAAACTTTGAATGAAAGCTCCATCGACAGCAGTGACGCGAAGGAAAGTAAACCATTATTACAATCTCCTTTACAGGATGGTTCTCCTCCATCATCCACCAACGCTTGTCACTACCCAGAGACGTCCTCTTAGCATCACATTGGAATCGATAAGGACAGAAGATACATTCATCGAAGGTCCCAACAAAGACGAGGAAGAACAATCCTTTGTACCGGTCAATGAGGACGTTGTGTTGAAACCACCGACGTCAGATAATGTTTATCTATATGTTTCATCAATGCAGAATATGGAACGTGAAGAAGAGAAAGACACGAAAGACAAAAATCATGAAAACAGCGGAGGAAGCAGCACTGTTAGAAATTGAAAGTACCAGGGAATTTAATTGCAATATCGTTTGGAAAATTATTTCAGTTTCAAATAATTATTTCTTTGCTAAAAAGTGTGTTCAGCCAAATCCCTTGATAATTTTGTTTCTACACAGTACATTGCTGTAATAAACCATAAAATTAAATACAATTTATGCAGTTCTGATTAAAAAAATATATTGACTTTTGATCAGCTTTGCAGCTCTTTATCCCGTATGCTTAGACATTATTGATTATGGGGATCTGGTGTCAAAAAGTGGCGAACTATATAATAAAAAGTAACAAGATACTTAGTGTTAGTATGGGTGACATTAGTATAAATTATTGTCTATGTCGAAATTTCGACATAAGTATGTCGTAATTACGACTTATAATATGTCGAAATTTCGACATAACAAAGATACTAGAAACACAAGATAGAGTTTTCCACACAAAAAAGTGTTCCACCGAAATGCATGGTGGGAATACAAACAATGGGACGCCCCTTACGGCTGGATCTAAAAAAAACTTCAACCAAACTTTCGTTACCAAGTCGTCGCGTATTTTATTGTAAATTCTCAATTAAAAAATTGTACACAATTGTACAATTAGTACAATTGTCAGGGGCGGATTTACGGGGGGGGGGCCGGCCCGGCCCCGGTCCCCCCTTTTGGGAGGTAAAAAAAAGAAAAAAAAAGAAAAAAAGAGAGAAAAAGAAAAAAATGATAGGCCAGAATGCCTCAAATGTTATGTTTGGTCGTCTAGAACACAGAAATTTCGCGGGGGCATGCCCCGGACCCCCTGCGACAGTGTTGTCTCAATTGGCCCAACTTTCGGCCCCCCCCCCCTTCCTGGCTCCCCCTTTTGGACATTTCTGGATCCGCTTATGGAGGGGTGTGAAGGTAAAGTGGGGGCCTTGATGATCAGTGGTGAGCGACTGGAGAGCGTGCAACTGGGGGGGTGGTGCAAGTAATTTATATTGGGGGGGTGGTGTGCTCCCCGTAGATACGCCACTGGTTTCTGGTTCTAAATCATGGTTTCCGTTACTGGTTCCTGCACTAACTTCCTACTGGTTTCTGATATTGGTCACTGGTAGTCTGTTACTAATTGGTTACTCATTATAAATGGTTACTTGTTTCTGATACTAACTGGTTACTGTTAACTCATTTATTGTAACTGGTTGACAA